AAATTCAGTAGAACTATTTGCCCGAGCACATCAACTTCCTTCATTTGTCATCAAGAAAAGCAGTAAGCAGCAGACAAGAAGAAAATTTCCCAAAACTTCAATTTTTGAGCTCACTCTTCTTTCATTTCCTAGTTTATCTCCAAAGAAGCAAAAACTCATTTCAAACCCAATTCGGGAAATACACCAAACAACCCATTGGATCAACAAAAAAAACCCACTAACTCTTTTCACACAAAAAATTCGAAAGCGCACCAAGGTGTCAAAACCCAAGCAGTTAGATTTGAAATGAACAGAAAAAAAAATCCAAAATCAGGAAATGGAAATAAAGAAAAGCTTACATTGCTTCCTTTCCAGACTTCGTACACGCGCTTTGCCATTAGACGAAGAAGAAGAAGAAAAAGAAACCGCACGCTCCTTTATTCACTATGCAGGGACTGAGTCGAACACATTAAATTTCTTGTGCCTGTTCATTTCATTTGAAAATTCGTAAACCCTCAGCCCCCACCTCCCACCCCAAACCCCAATACACCCTCCTCAGAAGAAGAAGAGAGAAGAAAATTCCAGTAAAATACACTCAAATCCAGTCGCGGACTCAACCAGCAAATCCGATAGATAAATGTATGCTCGGTTAACAACACAGAAAGAAAGTGTATTTCTGTGTGTGTATGTACGTGATTGTGTGATCTCAGAGATGGCAGTTTGTTGCTGAGCTCGCGAGGAATGGAATGTTTCGTAGGGGAAAAATATTTTTTCTCTATTGCCCTGCGTGCACGGGTATTTAGGAATTTCGAATTTTGTTTTTTTTTTTTTTTGTGAACTTTTATTTTTTAATTTTAATTCCAACTTACAGTGCGTCATAATTCAGATGTATTAAATTGCTAATTTTTTTAAATATGTTATCAAAATAAATCTTTTTAAATATATAAAGGAATTTACTAATTCATCCCTGCGCTGCCTGACCATCCATCCTGGGTAGTTGCTTTCCCACGTCAGCAACACTCTTGGCTCTACGCAGTGAGGTGCTAATCACGTGCAACAACTTAGATTTTTTTATTCTATTTTAAATAAATCCAAAAAAAAAGTACAATAAATTTAAAGTATGTATTTTTAATTAGAGAATTATTTTTTAGTTTTTAATCTAAATTAGAGTGATAAATGTAAATTTACTATAAAATTTTTAAATATTATGAAATTAATTAATTAATTGTTTAAAAAATTAGTAAGCTGGAATTATTATTTTAAATTAATTATTTTTTTATAGGTGACTATTTTAATGGGATTCTCCCCTTTAGGCTTTTTTTTAAATTTAAGTAACTGAATAAGCATGTGACAAAAAGTAATGAAGCCAGCCTGGCGCCTTTGACCGTCGGTCGTCAGATCCTCTTCACATCCACTCTCCTTTCTTTCAAGAAGCAAATATTCTTCTCCTCCTCCTATCTTTGTCCCCCCCCCCTCTTTTTTTTGCATTTGCTATTTGAATTTTAATTTTATGATAATTTTAGCTTATTTTAATTTTAAAATATGATGATAATTAATTTTTCTATTAGCCGCTAAAGACATATTAATTTTTAAATCTCCACCCTCATTATAATTACATTATATGACGAAATTATCTTGTGATTAACTAAATTAATATTATAGTCTAATTAATTTATTAATTTATATCAAAATAATTATGTTTTACGCATTACATCAATTAATAATATTTGAAATAGCAACAAATTATTGACATTGCACACTCAATGATGCATTGACATGTGATCGATAGATATAATTAATTTAATGTTTAATTTGGTTAGGAGATTAATTTAATATGTTGATTTTATTATTTCAAGTGTTTTCTTATAAAAATAATTTGTAAAATCTCGTGATTCGATGAATATTGGATAATAAAAAAGCATACATTAACTAAATATTATAATTGTCGTGTTAAAATTATAAAGTAGACACCAACATCTATATTCACATTTTATTAAGCATTTTGCTTTTGTTCTTACATATATATTTTTGTATATTTTATTTATTTAACAATACTATATACATTTAAATATATATTAAAACTAATTAATACAATTTTAAAATCACTTTTTTATATATTTTAATTCAAGTTTCTTAACTAGGTTCAAATCGAATTTTATTAAAGTCAAACATGTCTAATTATAAAATACACTATCCCAAAATCACCCAATTCCATGTTTAGCTTCTATGGGTTATATTTTAAGTATTTATTTATACATTTTTTATTTTTAAATAAAAATTTGAATTATATAATACTTTCTGATATATATAAAGTCTTGCACTAAATTCTATGAAATTTTGAAATGACAAATCCAAACATGTTATGTTCCGATTGAATGAATTTAAAAAATTCAATTTAATTAGATCTAGTTCTAATTTATATTTACAGGATATAACTTTAATTCTTATGAACGATTTTTTTTTACTAAGTATAAATTTTGTAATAAATCAAACACAAAAAAATGGAGCTCAAGCATTTTACATATAGGACAATTAAAAAAAATTAAAATAATACATTTCAGAATTATTAAAACAGTGTGTAATAACTGAAAAAATAGAAAAAAAAAAAAAAGAGGGAGAAGGAAGGGAAAAACGACGTCGTTTTGCAGAGGGGAGAAAACGGCGCCGTTTTGGAAAATGAAAAACGACGTCGTTTTGCAATGGGGAAAACGACGCCGTTTTGAGAAAAAACTGGGATGATTTAAGTAGGAGGCGGGGAAGGAAGAGAGGAGAGGAGAAAAGAAACGAAAAAAAAAGGAAGAAAGAGAGCAAAGGAAGAAAGAGAGTAGAGGAAGAAGGGGAGCGGGAGAGAGAGAGAAAAGAGGAATGAAGGTTCCAAAAGGAGGGAGAAAGGAAGCAGAGCGGAGAGAATAGGAGATCACGAACGGTGATAGCAGATTCGGCCGAAAGAGGGAAAAATGGAAATGGGAGGTACGGTACCAAACTCTAAATGTGTGTGTTGATTTGATTGTGAAATGATTTGATGTGTGGCGTACGTGGCCACGGCTTACGGAGGTAGGGGTATACGGAAGAGGTTGGGTGAGGGTATGTGGTGAGGCGGGTGGAAGGAAGCGGACCGAGTGAGGATCGCAGGAGGAGAGAGGGAGAAGGTGACAGTACAGACAGAGGCCAGGAGAGAGATAGGAGTGCGAAGTGAGTGGAGGTCGGGAGAGAGAAAAGAGGTGTGCGAACGAAGGAAGTGACCGCGTGAGAATCGCGGGAAGAGAGAGATAGAAGGTGACGGTACGGGCGGAAAAACGGTGTGGGAGAGAGCGGACTGTGTGAGCAATGCGGAAGGAGATAGGGAGATATTGTGGTGTGAGGACGTAGTATGAGAGAGAGATAGGTAGAGGCAGTGGGGAAACGCTGGGGAAGGGTAGAACCCGCGGGGTGAGGTAGGTGAGAAGAATGGTGTGGCGTGATGGTGTGGCGGGAGGTTGTAGCCCGAGAGAGAGTTAGGGAGAGATAGAGAGTGAATGTTGGAGAAGAGAAGGATCTGTCAGGTGAGTGAGATGCTTGGGAAAATGGAGTGGGGTAGCTGGAGCCTTGGGGGAAGAATGACGGGGTGAGTGGGGGCAATTAGGACATGTCCTAGACAACGGGCGGAGAGAGAGATAGTGGACGAGAAGGAGTGGTGTGTGTGTGTGGCCGACGGGGGTCGATAGGTAGACGATGGTTGGCGATGCAAGTGAATGAAAATGGTGTGTGTGCGTGGCCTGGTTTAGGTCGAGAGATGGTTAGTGGTCGCCGATATCAGTGATAAGAGGGAATG